TCAGGCGCCTTCCTGCTGTCATAGTACCTAAAGCTTGTGTGCCAGAAGGGTGAATATAGACGTCCGACTTCGAATCCAAAAAAATCCATCTTCCCACCAAGGCATCTCAAGTAACCACTACTCTGGGCTTTATTGGGTTTTCGGATGACCAGATAACTATTCTTCGCTCCCCCCTTTACTTTTGGCGGAGGGGCTAATAGTAAAAAGAATAGTACGTTTTGCCCACAACAACAGCGGTCCCTCAGCCGAATTCTTCAATAAGACTTCCGATTTTGCGACTGAAAGCGGTAACATTTCCGCAATTACCCTGACTTGTTTCAATGAACCGTAGGTCCGGCCACGTCAGCGTAGAAGCCATAGCAAAACTGCCCCTTTTTGGAATGACCCTGTTGTCAATGTGCTCAACCCGTCAGCAGTCACTCTGATCCAGGAAGCCATCTGTTTGAGAACCTTGATGTTAATACCCCTGAAACTGGCCTTTGTTGACTCCTTATTTAGGGCGATCAAGGACTCTCCTGGCAAGGAGTGATCCGGACAAACTCGGCGGCCTCCCACCAGACCAGCCTCGTCCGGATAAATTGGACAAGGTTCTGAATAGCTTTGCAGTGAGTTGCTCCGTCGTGCCGCTTTTTGCAGTGTTCACTGTTGCCCTATCCTACTACGTTTGTCTTCAACTTCGTGTTCCACCGAACATTTCTGTCCGTCATCACTAGCTGTTTGGAGGGCTCAGATCTTTGCTGTCAGGAGGAGACAGGAACCAGCTGGTGCCTTTTAATCTGTAATGTGCTGTCTACCCCATATGCGGCTTATCTAAGAGAATGCATCTGCCCCGTACACTTGTAGAATCTACAGAGACCTGTCCTCCAGCAAAGGGAATTAATACCTCCAGTCAAATGAGAAGGGTACGAGTGAGCCACGATGTGATGCGTGTGTGGTTTTCCTATTTATTTTCCTATTTCCTTTGTTAGCAAGCGATTTCAGAACATTAGGACCTTCTTTGTCACTACACAATAACGCAACGTTGGTGTCAGCGATTTCCTCAACTCATCTGGCTAGGCAACTTTCGAGTGTGTGTCAGTCCATATCCTACAGATTCGAATGTTTTTGTTCGGTCGCTGGGTGGTCCCAAGCTTACTGGCATACCGGGTATCTCCAAGAACGTAAGTCTGGTGCCGTCAAATCGGACGGACACGAAAGGCCAGTTAAAATATGGATTCCGCGAAATCACTTGCCATCCGAAGATCTGCTTCGACGGCTGCATCGTGGTTTTAATTTATCGATGCCACCATGTTTCAAGCCCCTACCTCCATTATAAGACGCATAAAATTGTCCAGCATTGTTCGATGTCGGTCGCTAACTAAATTGTCATGTTCATCCTCAAAAGGCCCGATTACTCTTTCCGATGTTATCTCACCAAACCCTGTTGTCGAGAAAGTGCAATTCATGCCGCTGATGTATGAACCTCGAATCCTCTGTGCCCCAAAACCTGCTATTTAGATACAAATGAACGTCCATTTCTACACCTGGATTGCGAATAAAGCCAACTCCGAGCTCCCGATTACAAAGCTTAGCATTGGTTCCAATTGATACACTACTTCCACCCCGTATGTGTACATTTCTAAATATCATTGCGTCCGCTGCAACGGTATCCATGAGATCCCAAGCTCGCGGGAACGTCTTCGGGTGAACTTACCTAAGCACTTCGTCTTGCTCAATGTTTTCTTGCGTACGTGTCAGACATGATCCCTCGGTTCGTGATAAATCACTGACAGACCACTGTTGCTGGGAGCGCCTAACTAATGTACTGTCGGTGGATTCCTAACATGGAACTGGACGCATGTGTGGGATCCGAGCAAGAACACTTGGCTGTTCGTTTTTCGCGCGTTGCCCCGTTATGAATGTCCCCATAATAAATTTCCGTGAGCGGATTTTCAGAATCTAGAACCCAAATTGTAAGAAAATGGGCGACGGGAGAATTGTTACACAGATTGGCCACCCTGTGCTTTCCTACCCCTTCTGGAGTCTTTGACTCACCTTGCATTGACATGTTTTTGAATTCTTACCAAAATCTTGTATGGGGTCAAAAAGCAGTTGCGAAAAGATTAAAAATCAATACGGCAATCTGTGCTACTCAAAATACCTCGTTTTCACGTTTATCTGCAGTCCTGTACAAAACATCTGGGGAACGGCTACACCACGCCTACCAACATCTGGCTGCGTGTGGCAAAAAGGGTACTTGGAGGAACTGACCACTGGTTCTACTTTCCGTTACCCACATGATCCCTTGTCCTTTCCTTGTCCGCTGTCTCCGTATTTTTTGCTCTATCGGTTTTAGCCTCAAGAGGCGACCTCCCCAAACCCACCTTTCCCGACCAGCTGGATAGATGAGCCCCCAGAGTCGTCGCTGATCCAACGCAGGGACGCCATCGCACCTTATGCAATGGAAGATCTCTAACTTTTCCTCTGGTTTATTTTTTTCCCACCATGTTCTTTCAACCTTACCCCTTCGCTCTTTTCATCTGATCTGTTGTTCTTTCTTTGTTTAGTAACCATGATGCTCTCTTTTTAATATTGCCGCACGAATATTGGAGGAAATATGACAGATTGAAGCACAGAACAGTTTTAGTTCTCCATGTCGTATCTGTCTCGGAATCTTGTGGGACTATGCCTGTCTATCGGACATCAGCCTTCTGAGTCGCGCCCTCAGTGCTTGTTATTTCTGTTCCTTCTAGGATTAGCATATTCTTAACTGAGTTCGCAAGCGGATGTAATCTATCACGCACTCCAGAGCATGCGATGCCTGTTTCAAAAATATGCAATGCTGGGTACAGCAGTTTTGCCGACCCTGTGTGGCAAACGTAAACCGGCCGTTTAGTTTTGTCGGCCACTGCGCCCACGCATACCCCTGACCCTGTATTGCTATCGTGGCATGGTAGGTATGGAGGGAGGTCGGCAGTCACAGCGCGGCAACCCGGTCTCTCATTCCCCTCTGGAAGTTAGCCAGGTCTCCATACGGCCCGCCCCTACGCGGCAGTTAACGGTTGCGTCATTCGGTTGCCCATCCTGCGAATGGCAAACGTGTCTGGTTGAGGCAATACCTAATTCGCATCTGGAGGGCTGGCAACCACGGAAAAATTTCTAGCTCCGGTCTTTTGATTGCAGTGTGGGTCGAGGACGACTAGCGCTACGTAGTTTGTCCAACGGGCCACCAGTTAACTAAGTCAGCTGGTTACTCGGAGCAAATACCAAACAATAGCAGGTCACGCCCACCGCGGATGTCTCGTTTGTCAGGGTCATAAGTAGGCCGGTGAGGGGTGATGCAAGAGACAAGCCTCAGAACGATCTGCGCCCCGACAGGCCGATGGCCCAAATTCCAGCCAAGTGGTCTACGTATCCCTTTGCGCGAATAAGTGGACAGTCCATCCGGATATTTATGATGTTTGTAGTGTTCCGTCCGATGGATCGGTTGAGGTTGGAAAGGACGGTTTTCTTACTGCAGTGACGGGAGGAAGGGACAGGAGCGGAGGGTCGCGACATTGTCAATCCATTGTCCGTTGGTTGACCCAGTGCGCCGTCGACCTGGTCACTTATTTACGTCAATGACCGTACACAAAAACGCCAGGGACCTTAACGCAGGCCACAAAAACTAAGGCACCCGGCCGGCGGGAAAATAGGCTCGCCAACGATATAAACGGTTGGAGTTGGAAGTGCTCAAACTTCAGGCAACATTCCGGAAAATGAAAACTCGGAGTGCCAAAACGCCAAACGAGTTCCTAGTCGGTGGTTCCTCATCTTAACTCCGAGTAGCTGGGTCAGATCCTTAACAGGCTCAACGCATCTCGGTTCAACGTTCACCGATTAACCGGTGTCCACTGCACCTCCAGCGCGATCATGCCTGATCTAGCCGGCCTCGATGATGTCGCGAACTGCACCTCCACGGAGACCGGACCTATTTCATGAGGTTTCTTGGGAATTTCGAATACGGGCGGGTTCCCGACAGCCGCTCGGATTGTTTGTTCGAGGTTGTCTCCTCTAGCGCTTTGGCTTAAAAGCCTAACCACAAGGCAGCGGTGGCAAGCAAACTTATTCGATGGCGGTTTACGGCCATGTCACAATGCCGTCATTGGGCTTTGCGCCTTTTTATAAGGCTTTCAGCGCGCCAGACCTCAGCCCACCGCACCCTGGTAGCAATGTCGCTGCTGGTCCACGACTGCTTATTCGTTAGACCTGGGTCAGCTTATTTCGCGGCTAACCTTCACTGAGGGTCGTCCCACTATCCGCCACCTGCAGATGCGCCAGGTAGCCAGCAGCTAGGCTAACGGGCAACCCGTCTTCCATCTACCCGCATTCGCTGTCGTCCCTCCTCGCCGCCATTATGACTTGGCCAAGTTCGGCCTGGTAATAAATTGCTTGTTCGTGACCTTTGCCACCCATACGGAGCTTGTTTGTTTCGTGAAGCCAATACATCGGTGTGCGCCCATTCCTGATCACCTTGATTTGCGGCGTCTCGTAGCGCGCAAATTGACCATACTCGGAAGACGTGGGCCGATCACCTGGGACGACTAGCCGCTCCTCTATGAGGTGTCCAGAGGCTTCTTGTGTCATCTCGCCAAGTCATTTACTTCCCCTCATGGGGTGGGTGACTCATTTAATAGAATGAGGGCTGACTAGACACAAGTCAGTTATTAGTACCTCGTGGTTGTAGAAGGCATTATATCAGGAAAAATAAGTCTGAATCGCATCGAACCAAGATAGTCATACAGCAGAATTTGCTCCGGTTAGATACGTTGGCAAATACGATTAACTTTGAGAAGGCCAGCTACAAAGACGGAAACGCAGCAGGCAAGGCAAAGGGAAACTGCATTAATGAGGAAAGGCAAATTTAATAAAGACAGGTGATGCGATTAAAGACGTTGTAAGTAGTTTGTTGGGAGAATTAAAACTGTCCACGTATGTACAACGCGTCGGCCGACGCGCACGCCCTGGGGCGCGATCACAACTCAGTCCCGCCTGCTTTTTGAGTGATGGGAATGTTTCGAGCCCGACTTTCTGTGCTTTTTTCTGTGCGCCTTCTCGCCGCTGTGTACTTTTCGGACCTTCTTTTTCGATTTGGATTCTTCCTCTGAATCTGAATCGGACTCGTCGGACGACCTGACGTTCCTGGCAAAACCGAAAACAATTGTGTGAAGATTATGTAAACCAGACAAAACTGGTCTTTTTTCAATAGGGTAGATGTATATAACAAAAGGAACACTTGCACGGCGTCTAAAAGAAACTTGAGAGGTTCGAAAGAGTCCTCCCTCCCCGTTATGAACAGCAAGCTTTGTGATGCGATTCAAGCCCTTGATCGCCCATTGTAGATGGAGAAAAGTAACCAGACCACGGGCGAGAATGTGAAGTCAGACTAGAAAGAAACGGTGTCCGGCAAATCGTCTGGGCGCGTATACGATCACGGCTATCAAACTTCCCTCACTGTCTCAGCCTGGATCTGCATGTTTCTGGTATCGGTTCGCATAATCAAACAGAGCTACACCGGATATACGCTGCCGCGATAACAGAAAACATTCTAAAGATGGAGAACCGAGTGGTTTCTCAGAGATAACTCCCTACGAAACAGGTCGCAAGGATCATAAATAGCACAAATCACGCCCAGTTGCCAGCTTGACGACTGGTATTTCTATCACAAACGAAATTCTGGAGTTTTCGGTTCCAAGTGGCAAGCCCCAATCCATAAAACAAGCCTGTAAACCAGCCCCTAGCGATCGAGCGGATATCATGTAAGACCTACCGGCGACAGAAATTGACGAGACACAAACCTTGCTTCTGGTAATACTAACTTCGCGAGCCCCAGTAGGCTCGTACTTAATGTATCCAATAATAAATGTGCTCGTCGCAAGATGGAAAAACCACAATATAGAAGGCGCAGTGGCGATTTCGGAGCAAATTTGTCTACAAAAAAGTTGAATTCTACAATGTCTGTCTTAATCTCGCCAGCCTTAAGAAGGGGTTAAGTAAAAGTCGCAATTAAGACCCTCAATTCTGAGCTATTTCGTTAGTTGGCAACTTGTCAAACCACGACTGTTAACTCATCGTGATAGATGAAAGTCACGTCTATTCGTTTACGACGAAGGAAGCCAAGCGTTGAGCACGAGTTGGAGTCTAACTCAGTTACTAAACCTCATACCATGGGCAGACAAGAGTTAAGTCGGCTGAGATCGGTATTTACATAGACCGGTAGCCTATCTGCCGCAAGTGACGATGACATCCACTGTTTGCAGTCGTGAACAGATGAAGTCATCGTTCTGCAAAGCACGTGGCTTGGTAGGCCAGACAGCTAAGTAAATACATCCGCTAATGAAACGTAATATCATCGACTTTCACCCGATGCAATGAATTAATTGGTTTAGATGCTTTTATGGGACGTAAAGACTTAGCACGAGGCCTCTGTGAGACACAACTGCCGTCCAGACCATAAGAGGAATCATGCACAGGTATCGTAAATTCTGAGAAATTCCAAGGCACAAGTTTTGCGAGCAAATGTTGGACAGCGCAACTGGTGTAGCAACTACAGTTATACTCTGCCAAGCGAATAAATGGTATCCGATAGCCAGCTTCTAGCAGGTAACCAGGAACGATGCTCAAAAGAAAAGGAAGCAACTCAGAGGATAACAAACAAGGACCACCAGTTTTTGCAAATACCGATGATCAAGGTCACACTTTCTCGAGACGTACCTTCGTAGGAGACATTCGCTGGGTCACAACACCAACAGAAAATCGGAGCGGCACTTCCCCTGGGAAAGCTCGACGCGATACTTGTGGCAGCACGGCAGTGGGATGGCTTATGAGGGCTGGACAAATTAATAGTCGGAGCGTTTGTCGGTTAGTAACCGAGAACGATAACTGGACGGCAACCAAGTCGACCTTGGTGATTACGCCAACCATGAGCGGTTTGCCTATGTCCTTAAACTGACACGATGAGAAAGCTCAGCTGGGTCATCTAGGGTAGGAATAAGTTATCATTGTTATTGGCAAGACGGGCGGAAGTGTTACGACTAATATGATGTAGACTAAGGGAGTGCTAAAGTGCAGTCCCGCGTTCCCAACACACTGTAAGGCGCCAATTATCTTTTAAAGAACTACATATCTCACAAATTTTCGTTACCAATTCTCGTTGTATGTGACGGCAATAGGCAAGTGGAAAATGTCTAGAAGGCACTCTCCGACCGCTTATATGCGGGAACAATAGTATGGGACAAAACGCAGAAACGTGACTGAGTGCTCAGCGAGACAATTGGTCACAAGCAGTTAACGGACGACTCCGAATTCAAGGAGGAAAAAACCCCTTCAAACTTCGAATCCCGTTTGTGTAGACACAGGAACCCTGGGGATGTTGAGAGACGTCAGACTCATCCAAATGTTACATGCCTGGGTGCTACCTGCACAGCCTCCCGGTGTGCCGGAGGATGAGGCTGGTAAACTCAGTGGCGGCTACCCATAAAAGCAGTGAAACCTCGCCGGTGTATTAAAGGCTTATGATAGTAGATAACTTCTCATGCCATGTTTGGTTGCTGCAAAACTGTCCACGCGATATGGGCGAGTCAAAATCATAATTCGTTATTTTTGCCTCGTGGTTCAATTATTTTTAGGTTTGGAGTGGGGAAACGAGCGTTGATGTGTAGTGGCTAATCATGCAAACAGTCAAACTTACTGCAATCTTTTCTGAGCTTCGAAGAGAGCTTTAGATTCCTCCGCCTGCTTACGCCTTAGAGCGGCCATTTTCAATGAACTACCATCCTCGTAATCCTCACTGATGCCCAACGCATCTTTGAACACCGAATTTTTCAGTATGCTGACCGCCGCAATTTCATGAGTACCCTTAGGGACAAGTCGAGGTAGTTCAGGATCGGTCGTACTCTTGGGGTGGATCGCGTCAATTAAACGCTTGGGGGCAACATCGTCGTCCATCTTCGACAAAAGTTCTTTCCGAAGAGCCGAGACTTTCGCGTCGATTTCGTCTTCAGTGTATCCTTGTTCTTCCATCAAATTTTGCAGTTCGAAACATTTAACTTCGATTTTCCTCTTTTTCTCATGGAGTAAAATATCCTTGTTTGGTTCTTTAAAAGTAATGGCGTCAGAACGCTTGACGTCATCATCTGTTTTATAGTTTATCTTTTCTTTGAAGCTCGTGACGAATGCCAAATTCCTCTGAACATATCCATTTGTCCCGCTACCCCTGGGTGTCGCTAGACCAATGCCGTTGTACATGATGGCCGGCACGATCGAAGTGCGCGGAGTGCGTACGCAGACAAACAAATTACCTAGGATCGATTTGCTCCTCTGTTTGGCGTAAGGTTATTACTCTGATAATCGAATATTTTAGTGTATTTTCTGTCCAGAAATCAAGAACTTTTAATTGGAAGCACGAGTTGTTGGTTGCTTAGCAGAGGCGCGGGTACGTATGAAAAATAAAAAATTCATCTGTTTCGTATCAGCCTAGTTTAACGAAGGAGAAATATCTTTGTATGTTTGTGCACCATATTTCCAACGTAAGGCGTGAGACTGTGTAGGACAACGCCAAATAAGGTCCATGAATCTCCAAAGAGCATCATGCTCCATCTTTCAGGATAATTTTCATGCAGGTGCCGGTTAAAGTTCTCTCTTAGACATTAAAATTACGGTAGCACCACAATACCCGAGCAGACGTCATTCTATAAATTGACAGTCATGATCTAAATTAAGAATTTCTGTAGATCTAGCCATGCCTGTTGAACAGGGAGATTGAATGGGTAATTTAGCAGATTAGTCTTGGTTACAAAGTCGAATGTGGCGCATCACAATGCGCTTAGTTCACAGCGATAGCAATATTTTCAATGCTAAGTGCTCACGCTGCACTTTCAATGCAAACCAAACAGATTTACATTGCGAAAATGTTTACCGGAATGTTACTCTAAGTGTCTGCTAGAAGGGAGCGGCTATGAAATGCATTTGTCGAAGAAGTCTATTTGAGCTGGGAGTAACAACTGACATTCATGGGGGTTTTGCATTTAATGGGTAGTGTGTATGATATGAAACTAAATTAAAACACTGTCAAGAATAACGGCCGGCCCTGGGAAAAACAGCGGAAAACTGAGGGAAAGCGCGAGGTTAGTTCATAGAACTTAAGCATTTCATGCAACGTATTCAGAGTCAGTATGTGCTACGCAACTGCATTGAAGAGAACAATAACAGCGTTTAGTTTCTTTGGCGGTAACGTATACTTATAATAGACGATGATGGAAGACTCAGAGTATTATGGAAGTAATCGGCTGGCTCATGTTGCGTGATTGTTGCACCGGCTCGGCGTTCGAGATCAAAGGTGCTCAGAGCCTTCATTACGTGTATTTAAACCATGAACTCCAATGGTTTTCTTCGATCATGGCATGTGCATAGGCAAGCAGAGACGTGATTATTAGTACGCATGGATACGCTGGATTGAAGGTGGCCTGAAGTTGACCAGGTAGGGCATGGACCGCAAAATCCCATCGGCCAATGGAGGATCATGGCAAGCTATCCCAAAACCCAGGAAACCCAAGCCATATTACTGAAAAATCGACCGGGAAGATCATTGTTTTCCACGCAAGTCCTCCTGCCTGTTTAAAAAACTAGGTTCCGGATGAAGCACGGTTGCGCGAGAAATCGAATGTGAAGTACATGACGTAAGTTGACAAGTTAGGTCCTATGGCGAGCTTCTCTGTGCAAAGGTGCGTGGACATGCAATGGACCAGTACTGATGGCAATACAGGTAAAGGATAAATATCCAAATTTTCGACGATCCTTTTTAAATGTCGGTGGGATAACTGCTCGGGAATGATAGGGAAAGTAAGAAGTTAGTCGGGCTGGTGCGATACCAGTGTCGCAACACTCTGATTAGCAGCGGATCATAGCGAAAAATTTTCTGAACTAAAAGGGAGGCCTTCGTATCCAGATTGCGCGGGCTCAGCCATGAACTCGTTAATCCAAAGTCTTCCGTCCGCCAAATAGACGAGAAATCTGCAGCCTGCAAAACATTACTGAAGTTTTAGTCTTTGATGTCTGCGCAGATGGTTAATTCTTCTTTCCGTTTTCATATTTCATGCGGTATGCGCGTGATCCTTATGACATTTTGCAATATGTACAGGACGATTTACCCCGCTCCACAGATTTACCTCTCATTTATTCATGTTCTAAGTCCCCTACATCTTGCCTGCAGTCTTCTTGTTACCATGTCCGTTGCTGTCATTCAGTGTCATCTACCTGTTTATTGTTAACGCTATTTAATCTCGGCTCGCTCACCAAAAAGCTTGCATAATGAAATTCCTGACAAAAGTGTAAGCACGGCGTTTTCAGATTAATCAACTTGTGTGCGTTCGACTATAGCACTTATACAGTCACAGAATTGGTGTGAACCGAATTTTCCTGATTGCTTGACGGAATATGGCGGTACTGTTTAGCCTCGCGGCTGAGAGCTTGCGGGGCAAGCGAAAAGCCCTTGCCTCAAACAAACTGGAGGCTCAAAGGTTCACATCTAAGCTTACCTAAAATAAACTTAGCTGAGTTAATTTGGATCGAAGGAAACCATTCTCAATCATGCTCGAAAGGTAAGTGCCAAAAAGGACGAAGAATTATCAGTAAAATTGGCCGAACTGAGACCACCTCGATCAGATCACTCGGCGGACGACCTTGTGCATAACCTTTCTTCCAAATCCCCCACCAGCCCACAAATTGCAGTCCTGGGCCGTGGAGCCATATTCAAGTTGAGTTTATTTTATTGAGGGAACATTGCAGACGCTGCCCCTCAGAGTTCATTGCCACTTTTGAATCTGTTCTTCAACTAACACAAACGTCAGAAGAGACGAAACAGTTGATCCGCTACAAAACCTCCTCTTTGTTGATGCAGCTCAAGAAGAGCGAATCTCTCAGCAGAGGAGAACAGCAAGCATCAAAAGGCCTAAAAGAGGATAAAGACATAATCGTCCTGCCGGCTGACAAAGGTCGTTCCACAGTAGTACTCAACAAATCTGATTAGCAGAAGAAAGCTTTGAGCCTACTCGACGATCCATAGTCTTATAAACTTTATCCAGCCAGTAAGATGACAAATTTGCTTACTCGAATAAACAAAAGTCTGGCAAAACTCAGGGCAAATGGGACAATTACAACTACAGATTGGCTTCTTATGAAACCCTCTGAATTTGCCGACTCGCGGTTTTACGGCCTGCCGAAGATACACAAAGCGAACATACCGCTAAGGCCCATCGTCTCCCTACGTGGCACTCCTAAATACGGTTTGGAAAAATGAATGTTTGCTCGTCTTAAGTTCCTGGCAGAAGGTTCGTCAACAACAGTGGCTCCTTCTAATCAGTTCTTTGAACGTTTAAAACATCTGAAACTAGAGCAAGATGAATCTGTGTTATCTTTCGATGTCGTTTTACTCTTCACCTCCATCCCACAACAACTAGCGATTGACGTTGTAAGGCAAATTCTGGCCGACCGCTATGACGAGGCAGACATCTGATCTAGCTCTTCTGGCTTTACCTAAGACCATATTTCATCCTTGATGGACAAACGCATGAGCAAGTTAGAGGCACCCCCATGTACTTCTCCAAATCAGGACTGATTGATGAAGTGGTCCTTCGACGGATAGAACACTTGGTGTTCACCAAGTATCAGCCGGAGTTATGGGCTCGTTACGTCAATGACACTTTTTCCAATGTCAAGTAATCTCACGTAGAGCACCTTGAAGAATTACTGAACTCGACTGACCTGAACATTCAATTAACAATGGAAGCTGAAACTAACGACCAACTCCCTTCCTGGATATCCTTGTGCGTCGGTGTGCAACTGGACAATTACAAACTACCGTTTTCAGAAAAGCCACCAACACAAGACAAATACTACACTTCGACAGCAGTCACCCTATCTCACAACCGCATCTGTGTCCGTACTCTATTCCAAAGAGTTGAAAAACACTGCGGCAGACCAGCCGACAAAACAGCTGGATGACAATATCTTCATGACCTCTTTCGAGCCAATGGATACGCAGGCTACTTCATTAAGCAAAGTAAGCGCCTAGTGAACAGACGCCGGCCACAAGAAAAAAAGCCGAAATCTGGAGGGCCATTCCTTACATTCAAAGTGTTTCCGAGGCGGTTTCACGACTGTTACAACACGCCAGGGTAGGCATTGCCCATCGCTCCCATGCAACAATTCGTCGTCGTTTGATGCAACCTAAATACATACTGCCACCCACTGAAACCTCAGCAGTTGTCTAGAAAATACGTCTTAACGATGGAGACTGCAACTACGTTGGGGACACCGGGCGGAAATTGCAGACCCGTCTACATGAACACGAACTAGCAGCTAGGGGAATAGACCCAAACTCACAGCTTGCGACCCACCTCGGTGAAACTGGCCACAGTTTTGACGTCCAAGGAGCAGCCGTCTTGCGCCGGGTACCTCAAAGACAGAACGTCTCACACTTGAGGCTTGGTACTCAGATGCCAACTTCATCAAAAGACACCTAAACCTTCCTGTGGCCTATAAAGTCCTACATCAGTACGTACGCCGTGACGAGGACAAGACTTAATAGTACCGAGCAAACAGGGCCTGCCGACCAGTTCACCCCAAAGGGGGACACAACTCAACTAACCCCAATTGAGATGACGACACACAACACAGGAGGCCACCAACACTCATAAACGACGGCCAGTAGGCCAAGGCAGCGATCAGCCTTTTGGAGTAGACGCTTTGATAATGTAGAGCCGTCCAAGCTCTTCGAAACGTCAGCCAAACCATTCCCTCGATCCAGTGAGCACTTCCCTTTCCTCCGAGTATCGACCCGGATTTCCGACGTTTGCTGACCCCCTTTCGACAGTTTTGGGTACCATTTTCTTTGATTTATCCATCCAGGCTCCAAATTCATGTGTAACACCAAAGCAGAACTGACGGACAGAAACCCTTTTGTTTTAGCGTGATCACCCTTTTTTAGATCGATCGTGAGACCTGATCACGCGTGGACCATCATCGACGACCGTCAATCTAATAAGTCCAACCTTCGAAATTTTTTCCACCTATCTGTTTCGTTGTATATTAGTACTTATGTCGTTTTACAGTTCCGTTACTTCTCCCAGTTTTCCACACCCATGCTTGCACTCACGAGTTTCCAATATTTTCGTTCCTGACTACTGTCCTATCGTTCGTTATCGTTCGTTTTCTGCCAACCTGGTTATAACATCAACACCAGTTATACGTTACATCTCTCCTTTCAATAAAGTGTTTGCGTTTTCCATCCGTCGTTCAATCCTCACCACTTAATCGTGTGTCTACATGCTAGTGTCTGCATGATGCATGCTTTATGTACGAACGATCAAGATCCGGAGTCTCTGACCAAGAAACTAAAGTTATACTCAGATTTGAGTGACCGTCAGTCGGTTCCGCCACCCCTCAAGTACGCAGACATTACAGTGGTGGCAGCTGGTGAGCGCACCAGCCCTTTCCCCCTTCCACACCCTAACCAACCCACCCACCCTGCCCAACCGTCTAGCACCCTAAACCCATAGGGATCCAGTCTTCTACTACCCTCCGAACAAAACGAGCCAGGGCAGAACATCCGAGAGTGGCTCCAAGACCTCTCCCTCCTCCTAGTGAGCGTCCCCGTCACAAACACACATGCTACCTCTTACGTTTTCTGTCGCTCCCCGTCCATAGGCAGGCGTTCGACGCCGGTCTAACTCCCACATCTGACTTCCAAGAAGCCTGTGAAGCCTGCAATCCTTCGCCTATCCCGTCGCCTCGGCCATAGCGAACCAACGGTTCGCAACGCCACGACAACGGCCCGCCCAATCAGTTGACGATTTGGCCCACGACCTACGACGTCCGGCCGCAGCGGCTTTCGCCAACCTCCCAGAAATCGACCGCGACCGGTTCATACTACACCAGTTCATTACCGGCCTAAGGCACCGCACCGTTAGCGGTGTCCTCTTGTTGAACCCACCGGCCAGCTTGTCATCGGCTATCCAAAAATGTCGGCTCTACGAGGAGTGTTACGCGAGAGCGAATGGGCCTCCACACCATGCCAACAGCCCCAACCACACGACTTCCCCACCCACCAGACGGCCTCCCGCTCTACCAGTCCGATTTCTGTACCGAAACCCTGGATATCCTTATTGCGCAGCGTTCGGACTCCAAGCTCAACGATGTGAACACACTCCGCCAAGTAAGTCACTCTTCGTTGCTCATACTTACCTGGCTGTATCGTCCCATCCACCCCTTTTTGCAATCCCCGCTAAGCTAGACGGTCACAATATGCTAGCCTTAGAAGACACAAGCGCCAACGTTTCCTTCGTGAATAGCTTCAGCCTCACTCGCGAGTTATACGAGCAGATCTACCACACGAGTGACCCCTATACCCTGTGGGTTGCGAACGGCACTTTAATACCCATCTTGGGTCGCATAACCCTAGGACTCACTATAGACAACACAGAGGTGACTTACCCATTCCTGGGGGCGACATAGGGCCCGTTGGCCTTAGTTCTAGGGTTGGATCTCCTGGCGGACTACGACTGCGTTATCCGCACAAAGAGTCGCCGCCTGTCAGTTCCGACACTCCCAGACCCTCCTACCCATACACCATCAGAGAACCTCGATCTGATATACAACACCGTGGTAGCAGCCGCAACACTCAAGCCGTCCAACATAGATGCGAACCTACCCTCAGCAGAAGCAGTCGGGTCAGATAACCGCAAAAGACTACGTAGACTCCTACTGTCATTCTCCGGGTTGTTCACCTAATCAACCGATGCAATCGGCGCAGCCGCAAAGTTCAACACGCAATTAGCACGGGCGACGCCAAGCCCATTTGGTAACCCCCACGCCGAATACTGGTACTGTTCCGAGCAGAAGTAGGCAAAATCATACATGCTAAAAACCCACATTATACAATCGACCTCATCTCCGTGGGCATCATCGATAGCCCTAGTCCCCAAAAACGACCGCTCCTTCTGTCTCTGCGTAGACTATCACCGCCTGAATGCCGTCAATGTCTGCAATTCAGTCCCACTACCGCGCTTAGACGACACCCTAGATAGCCTTCGCGGGGCAGCCTGGTTATCGACACTGGACCTTAACTTAGGCTATTGGCAGGTCGAGATAGATCCCAAAGACCGTCAGAAGACCGCGTTTATCGTACCACAAGGACTGTTCTAGTTCCAGACGCTTCCTATAAGACTATGTAACGCCTCCGCCACTTTCCAACGACTGATGTACCAAGCGTTCGAAACCCTGTCCCACACAAATGCCTCGTTTATCTGGACGACATCATCGTATTCGGCCCCGATGTCGAACAACACAACCACAATTTAAGAGATGTGTTAGCTGTCCTCCGCGATGCCTGCCTGACGTTGAACCCGGCCAAATGCACATTCCTACGGCCAGAAGTACAATTCCTGGGCCATAAAATCTTTCCAGGCCGCGTAGTCGCTTTACCAGACCGACTTAAACAGATTCGTACCTGGCCGACACCCGCCAACCAGACGCAATTGCGTAGTTTCCTAGGTCTTGCCTCTTACCACCGACGGTTTATCCTTAATTTCGCCCAGAGGTGTGCAAGCATCTGACACTGGGGCGTAATTACTTAGTTATAACAAAATGGACCAGAAAAATACTTATTTTTTGATGTTATTTCCAGTAACGTTTCCTAAATTGATCTGTGTTTAAACAAGTCAATATATAACTACTGCTATTGTCATATTTCGCCGGGTCTCCTGATTCGTCGAATAGGTCCTTCGTGCATTTCTGTCGGGCTTCGATCGCTTGTACGCGCGTATTTGTCAGATGGCTGAGATAGGAAGGCGGCGTGCCGTCTCTTTTTGCGCGGTAATTATTCCAGCTAAATTTCTAACACATTTTTTCACTGCTTCCTTTGCCGAGCCTCTGTTCTCGCCGAGTTAGTTATTACCGTCTAGGATTGCAAACATTGTTAAAAACCATGCACTAACAAGTCGGCAGTCCACGTAATCTGTGAACGTTGGTGTATTGCCAGTGGCGTGACCGGCCAAGTTCTTGCGACTGCCTAATAGGCACAACCTGTCCTTGCGTCCTTCCGTATGATTGGTACACGCGGCGTCCAAGGCTTTACTGACGCGCACATGCATCGATTGCACATAGTGAAGACACCTGCAGGGGGATTGTGCCTCATGTACGCTGGAGGGTCTTCTCTGTGTGGTAGTAACTGACTTTTCCAGAGATGGGTGTACGACCCCCAGGCCGTCGATGACGCATGCGCCAGCAATTTACTGACTGATACAGGTTGTGCTGAGTCTGCTAACTGCATAGGTGGACGTGCTCTTGCAGAAAAATCAAAGCTGCTGACCCATGGATAATCAATTAATAGGGTATTGTTCTCAAAAACATTTTATATTGTAATTCAGCTATAAGGCTTCTCTTGTACTTATTTCGTTTGGTTGTGACGTATAGTTTAAAATCACTTGTCCGAGATGTTCTTCCACACTTCCCCCGGTGACGTGGTGGCGGAGACTCAAAGGCCCGTATCTCTAACAATATGTTATTTGCATAAAACTGGCATAATTTTAACATGTTAATATTGGTACTGTAGTGGCATGATTTTAACAGTCTTATCATTTTCAATTAAAGCTGATACTCCCAGGTTTATGCTGCGTACGACCGCCACCGCCTGGCTGTGTTGTCAAACGCACATTGGCTAGTACATTAACTACCTCTTGAACGCACTTACCCTTATGGGTCAGTGTGTCTTCTATTATATTCTGGGCATACAGAAAAATCTCATATTTATTTTGTCCAGTTAGCGATGACTGCTCACACTGCACACCAAACGTGGCTGTCTTATGGTCTAAAGGAATCGTGCGACTAAACCGACAGCGAAGACTTACCCTAGATGACTTTGCCTATGGCAATCTCACGACCAGGGGTGTGAGATGCATGAGGTGGGGTGATGCGATGCCTATGTGTGTTACGTAGACACTACGTTTGCCCTTGTCGCTGGGACAGTTAAATTATCTCGTCATATCTTCCACCGTAACGACTTGTATTTGCTGGAGATGAGGACAATGGCGTCTAATCTAACACTTAAGGTCGAACATAGTGCTCACTTTGCAAAACCCCACATATTTCTTCACACGTCAGTTTTCCTTGCAACATTTCGCTGCACAGACGTGCCATGCATACATTAAGTCCCTGGGACGCCATGAGGTATAAATATAGGCGTCGGAAACGTGAATGAAAACAGTTACTAATATGGTAACGGTCGCTGCCACTACGCGCAGTACGTCTACTTTTCGCCAGGCTCTCACTTATGCGGACATATCGGTCAGTTACTTCATTTCCTGTCGTCAGTGAATTGGTTACTATGGGCTTAAGTGTCTGTCATCACGGTCATGTGGCGTGAAGCTATTTCTCCGTTTTTTCCCCAAGCGACGAGCTACGTTTTGTGAGGCCTTCTTGACCTTCTCTGGAGTCTCCTTAATCAACCCAGAAAACCTTTAGATGGAAATGGCAAGAAGATGTCCATTGGCTCCTATCTGGCAACGTTATCGGGAATGTGCGACACTTAGAACATTATGCACCACTGTACAAACGTAGGAACGAGTTATGAAATGCCCAGTCAGACTGCGACAACATGGTAACCACTCGGCATACAGAGTGCTGTATGACAGCAATATTGAGGAGAGGAACAATTGTAAAAAGTTCCCATGCGCATGTTCAGAAGGTACACAGTACATGGTTGTGAAACCTGTAAGTATGCGGAATGGACCTATTCATGAGTAATATTCGGCTGCTAATGATACCCACTGTCGAAGGTAACGACCCGTAATTCGTACTTTGTAGGCTACTGGTTCACAAAATAAGCAATCTCACCAAGCCTATGTCATTTAAATGCTTTGGATCTAGAGGGGAGCCGGAAATGAGTCCAAAAATGCATGACAAGTATGACGAAATGCTACAGCGTTCATTCCACTCGTTAATGTTCCATCTGCGGGACGTGCAGAATTCTTTTCTAATCCCTGTACCTACTCCCCGAAAAGTACACATTTCGCAACGGCGCTGGCTTGCCTAAGAAACTCCCATGTTGGTGTCTCGCCAATTAGGACAAAAAATTCCGACACAATAGTTGCCCTCAGTTAGTTATGTTCACTCCACTTCCTGTGACCTCGCAGAAGTCGTGCGTCATTTTTCAGCAGTACGAAACTGTATCATCCTGCCTGAGGACCATAGTAAATCCTCGCAAAAAACCCCGCTTTTAACCGTTTAACGATCCTGCCGAGGATAAGTGAAATCCGGTTCTTGTCTTACGGCTAGCCGGTATGCCATTTATATTGAAATACACTGTTAACTGCGGTACACGTTTCGAAATTGTCCAAACTTTGTTGGTACTACTTATGGTAGAGGGGCGCTCACCGATCGTTTTTAAGAAACTCACTTATCCCGTTGTGCCTTAGGGCTCTCTCGAGCCCAGCCAGCAGCCGCACAACGGCGCATGATATAGGCAGAATAGCATTACCGGCAAGACAGGGGAGACTGGAATGACCATTTCTGGCTTATTGGCAGTCGTCAGCCAGCCCCTCCCCTTCGTATGGCAACTACACTGCACACAGTCGTGCCCACCAAGAGGTCTCCCTGGATCTAAAAGCATATTTTCCACAAACACTGTTAAAAGAGCTAGCAGTGTCTGCAGTTGACAATGTGGTGGATGTGAATGGACAGTCTACAAGCTCACCTCTTCCCGCATGATCAGCCTGTCACCAACAGCTGCCGTACGTGCTGGGCCTTACACGTCAAATTCGCTGAAAATACCTCAGAATTGTGATATTACTACTCATCCGAACAACCGTAACCGAAGATGACTGCGATCAAAATCGTACCCATCGACCCATAGCCTGTCCCTTTCCCGTCAGATGTTGACAGCGGCGCGCCATTGAGCTGATAGACCACCGCGTGCACCTTTCTTTTCTGTCCCGGACCAAGATGACTTAGGCGGTAATTGGGAAGAAGGCCACCTAAGATGAAGGCATGGTGCCCACTAAAGCGATGCACTTCCTAAATATTGGTATGACTATGGTGAAATGCGTATTTTATGGTTTGGGGTTTGCGTCCAAAACCAGATCATTAATCAGTGATGGCGTTGAGCAACTGCTCAGTGTCTCCTGGAGGCTCGAGGGCACTACAAGGCCTATTGGTCGTTGAAGTGAAGTCTGTTCGCTTTCGTTTGGCCATCTGAATATGTTTACGGGGAAAGCACGTTTCACAGTTTTTATTTTTCCGTCAGAATACCAGCGATTTTTTCGATTATATTTTGATGCAGTTTCCTACCCCTCATTCATCCATGCTTTAGGAATAAGTCGTTTTGGCTTATGCGTTCGGTTATCCAATAGTACCCTTGCTTTAAACTGGCATATCCAGACGGTTACTTATTTTACCTTAAGTCATTCCCGTATAATCTTCTGTTTTCTTCATACGTGACAAGTCGACTTTTTTCCTCCTAGCCCTCGCTGGTGAAACAGTTGCCGAAACCACTTCCCGAACAAACGAATCTGCAAGTAGCCGATGACCAACTTCCAACGAATAAACTCTGTGCTCTTGCACGAACGTCGTTCTCTTTTTCAGGAAGTCAGAAAAGTAGCCTCCATGGTTTGGTCCACTCCCAGGACACTGGCTCAGTCAACGACGGGGAGGCCTTCGCTTCGAGTGGCCCATACTGTGGGAACCTGCTCGGGGAATCGGATTCACTGGCAGTGTTTTCTTGCGCCTCCCGTAAAGTTGCAGTATGCGTCCCTCCCCCACCTTCACTGGTCTTAACTGCTCCTATCAGTGAAGAACACTCAACACCCAGCGACCCTGCCAACCTTAAATCAGCGTTACGGGAAACGACAGGATCAACCGACCACTCCGGCCAGATCTCTCGTCTCTCTCCGTCCAGGAGGCTCTGGACCTCTTCCGTTTGTTCTCCTACAAACGCGTCGCTTTTGGATTCAACTATGGTCAAAGAATATTTTGCGCAGGTACGGTTATTAAGTGTTAACAGCCTCTGTCGCCCGTGCGCGGGATACTAGTTCACTCATCCCCGACTTTGTTGACTACTTCACTTCCTGCGCATTCGAATACGCAGGATATGCGTAAGGACCATCCTCAAGTCATGGGAGCTGTGCCCAGTCTGGTACAAAAACACGTCCCTTTTCTCCGATCAATTTGGCAGCATGATAGCGGCTACCGAACTCCCCGTACTCTCCTCTTGTGGATACAATTAGGTAAGCAGCGGCTCTAGGTCAAGAGTGGCAAAACCAAATTCTCAAGACGCATGATGACAAATTCGTCCAGACTATATCAGTCATCACCCTTGAGTGGCATGAGATTTCCGGGATGTTGTTGCAGTGATCGTGGACTGTCCTTCAAGACGAAGCCGGTGTACTTCACCCTAGGGCTGGTTCTTGGATGATGGTATTCAGGTACCTCCAGTTCTCGCTCGCCACTCAGGCGCACGGACTAACATTCACAACCATATAGGTGGACTGACTGGAAAGATTCCCGACACAGGCTAATCCTCGTGACTAGCGATATCACGTCGGGTTCACAGACGCCTGATAAGGACTGTGAAAACCCTACAAGCAGTATCGATTCCGGAGGTGATGCCGTTCTATGTCAATCACCTGGCGCTTAGGTCCAAATTTGACAACGTCAGAACCGTCAGAATCCAGTCAATGGTTTATCCAGATAAGTTGGGTGGCGGAGTGCAACCTTGCTAGAAAGCAGACCGAATATAGGATGACTGGGAAACATTCTGGACGAGAACTCTTGGAGTGACAGAAGGAGGACAAGCCTTGACCACGACGGTTATTTTTGCCGGTATACCGTCTAACTTCACTACCCGTCACAGAGTCCCGCGGTTAAGGGAACCGAAAATTGTAGCGAAGTCAGTAAAGCAGACAGTGTTCGATTAGTGGTAACCGTGGCGGGGTTTAATAATTAGCCGCAGTGTGAATACTTGGTCGACACATCCACGTCCACCCTGGAACCTGGTTTGGTTTGTCCTCGTTCTCGAATCATGTACACTCTGAAACCGCCTAAGAACGACGGTAACATAGGACTTTGGAGCGGTTTTTGTTAGACTCATGCTGCAGTGATTCTTGCACTCTTGTTTCCATCAGGGGCGGGCAGATGGATGTCTAAGCCCCAGTCATGAAGGACAAACGTTTTCGCGCATGCTCAACCACACCTTAGAACCAGGACGTCAAAGTATCGACAAGAGAATTGTAGACCTCGATCGGAATACCATCATCTCCGGACGTCTTGTCACACAGCCTCAGTGTTGCGTCAATTTACTGAGAACGAGTCACACATTCAATCAGGAAAGGGCGCACACCGATCTATTGGCTTCACGAAGCAAACAAGCTCCGTATGGGTGGCAAAGGTCACGAACAGGCAACCAATTACCAGGCCGAAGTCGGCCAAGTCATAATAGCAGCAAGGAGGGACGACAGAGAATGCAGATAGATTGATACAGTACTGTTTCGGGCTTATTGTGCCTTCATTCAGCCAATCATAACCCTGACCACCAGCAACTGCGACCAGAAACACAAACATGCGCACAGACGCACACATTACTACGTAGGCCGAAGAAGGATATCACCTCGCTGCAGGGGGAGGCGATTGTTGGGTTGTCATCGAAGTTGAAAAGATGTACAAAGTGCTCATGTCAATGCCTGACCTTGACCGAGTTTTCAGCAATAAAGCCGCAATGAATACTGCAATCGGTCACACAGTAGAGAGGGGCTCATCAGTAATTTGACGAATAATTTGGAATATGAGCCGTACTGCATAGACGTCGCCAAGCCAGCCTGATAGTTTTAGCATTCCTATTCAGCTGACTTTGTTGTGATTTTGTGGGGCTTGCAGAAAGAGTAAGCTTTGCGTGACCTAGCCCTAAATGATCGGGCAGACAATTGTAAGGCTCCTGAGCTGATCCAGTCGTTTCAACGTCGTTGAGTAAATTTAAAAACTGGCTGGAAAAGGCTGTGTGTACCCCTCCCCTGAACTATATTTCTACTGTGCCGGCTTGTTTAACTTTTTAACCAGTAGGCGGTGCGCATTCTTCTCGCAGGTCGCTCGTTTTTCTGCATAACTTAATTTACGTGATTTTCTTTCGACACCTCTTTATTACATTTCAGGGTTGGAAACAGTTGCTTGTACCCAAAAATACAACCGTTCCCTACCCGTTACAAAACGCTTACAGCATAAATACGATTCTTAGTTTTTTCGTTTCGTGCCCGAAAATTACTTCATTGACGACCATTTGCCAGTACCGTTTTCTCAAAGGAGTTTCAAGATGCAGTCGAACTTCTGTGTTCAGAGCGTCGACTGTGTTGGGTTGCAACGCCAAGACGTCTTTTATGGGGCATTTTGGGTGCGGATGAGACGTAAATTTATAGGCGTATGTAGCCCTGAGCGTGGTCTGGCGTCTAGACATTGTCAGTTTTGGCGCAACATACTGATCTGCCATAGTAACCCCAACTGCGAAATCTTAGGCTGACAAGAATGTGGTCAATCCGGCTGATCGCACGATTTTCGTTCGAACGTCAGGTGTGGTCCCTAGAATAGTTGGTGCGCTTTATATACCACAATCATCAGGGCCCAACCCCGTTTTGATGAAGAGGAAAGACATTTATAGGCCGCCTGATATCCTGTACAGAAGCCTGGTGGTGGTCATAGCATTCGGCACGCGACCGCCTCTAGGTCTGCTTCGTCCCCAGTAAGGTCAATGTGAACGCAGTGTCCAAGTGTCATGTGAGAGCCGGTGGGAGTTAGCTTGGTGAATTGATTGGATG